GTGTGTGTGTGTATGTAGGGGTGGTACGCTTTAGATTTTGGATTTTGGACTCACGGTTTCTAAACTCCCCCGTGAATCACAGGCGAGCCCACGGACGCAGTGCATGCCAACCCACCAAAAAAGGAAGCGCACGACAAATTAAGCTGTGTGAAGTTCAGGCCATAAACCGGTGTAAAGACTATTAAACAATTAAAAAAAGTAAAGACATAATTGTGAGGCTCAAGGCCTCGATCTGCCCTACTGGGCCCTATTTTCTGTGCGGTCGGCCGCCCTAAGTGAAGGCAGGCTCGACCCAGGGCCTACAGGCCTAATTTTGGGGGCATCACGCAACTGTGTAAATTCAGGCAGTTGCGCAGCGCCAGTTGGTTAAGAGCGCCCAGGCCCAGGCTGCCTCTTTCGAAGGTAACTGAGGCAGGCCCTGGGCCAGATTCGCAACATGGACCAAACACAAGCCGCGGGCAGTTGGACACGGGCAACCACCACAGGCCCAGGGCCTGTTTCGTTTGGACTGGGGCTCAACCTCTCTGGGCCTACCAGAAGCTTCTGGGCAGGGGCCCAGCGCAGCCAAGCTGCACACAAGGCAGGCAGGCCACTTCCATTTAGGAAAGTGCCTGCCCACGCATTCAGCATTCGGGCACTGGCTGCATGCTGCGCAAGCGCTGCTGCGCTAACGCTGGCCAGCGCTCACGCGCTCACGGGCGAGCTGGAAGGAGCAGGCAGCCATAGCCGAGCTGCACTGCTGTAAGCTGGATGGGGCGCATGGTGGTCCTTGGGTGCATGTGGCATCTGAGTTGGGGATTGAGGTTGTGAGTGATACGAGAGACATACCTGGTGCTTGAGGCGAACGACATTGGCCGAGATCTGCTCGTACTTCGGGAAGCTGTTGACGTCATCAGCGGCATTGTAGATAGGCTAGATAGGATCTGCCATCTGTAGTCTGGGCGCCGAGCGCCAGATAGGATATCGACATTGGTTCTTTGTTGATGATGATGAGACTATTCCAACATTGTCAATTATGAGCATTTGCTGTGCTCTTATTTGGTGGAACTCATGATGCAATTCTGCTATTGGTTCGAGGTCATGACTATCTGGTCTCATGCATATGATGTTGTTTGATTTCTGAAGTTCGCAATCGCTCATTTTCCTTGCAATTTGGTATCAGAGCTGTGTTACTTCTGCCTATGCGGTACATGCATGCGGTCTGCTAAGCGAGCGGCCGTAGGGAGTGTGTAGTGAGGAGGGCGAAGGCAAGCAGGCGACCCAGGTGGAGAGGGGATCGCGAGGAAGGCTAAGGGGTGATTATTGGGTGTTCGCAGTGTGATGAGAACTATTTGATGTGCGATTGATGCTGAGGTGGAACGGTGGTGTAATGCTGGTTGTGCCGAAGCGGCGATTGGTGAGAATATCTGTGGTTGGGGGCAGCTATTTTGAGGTACGTTGCACCTAACCTTATCTACCCTCTTCGACAGTTCTTACCGTGAGGATGTGTGTTCTGTCTTGAGAGTCCTCTCATGTGAGGAGTCGAGTGCGCTCAACCTTGAGAGTCGTCAGTGTTCACGTGGAGCATCTGGAAGGAGAGGGCGGTGTTATTTGAAGGGCCCTGGATGAAGCACTAGGTCACAGTCACCATGCCAACCCACCGGGAGTAGAGCACGCATGCTTTGCTGCTTTGTCCTTTGTCTGCTCGCTGCGCTATAGAAGGGTTCTGAGGGGCAGGCCAGCCCTATGGGAAAGACGAGTACCAGACGTCTATAAATAAGTACCGGCGGGGACCTTCCATTGGCTGTGATCGTCGTCCTGTCTGCGACGTTAAATAATTCCTGAGGACTTTGGGGGGCCGTCCATAAAAACACCTCCTGATCAGCCAATCGGTGTAAGGCTCGTTGCACGTGAGGATAAATATGGTGCAGGGCTTGCCAGCTCAGCAGGACTCGGGGTACAGGGGTGGGCTGTGTGTACACCTTTAGACACACATGCTGTTCCAGATTGCTCAGGGACATTGACGACAAGAGGCATTCAGGAAGAACTGAGGGAGGGGTAGATTTTAGGTGATAAGTTGGGCAAGATTCCATTATGCAAACAGACCCAACAAATGATTCTATTTTTATTTTGATTAGTTAGATGTACAACCATTAACATCTGACAGACAGCATAGTTAGAACTGTTTTCTGTTCATTGTGCTTTCTATTTGCGAACTAGTCAAAGTCAAAATAGTTTCGTTGTAGGAATCTGAACTTACCTGTTGGACCCAAATGTATATCCTCTGATTTAGCCACCGATTAATTATTTAATTATTTTAAATCGGTATGTGCACTACGCTGCGGTAGGCATCGAAGAGTGACCTAGTGCAGATTGTGTATAGTTTTGTAGCTTATGAGCGACAGGGATACCACTAGCGAGGACGACAGGATCTTGCGATCGGCTAGACGCCTGATAGCCCACTTGGCCTTAGGATCAGAGGGTGATAGGTTACTGTTCCGCCAGCTTAGGGAGAGGCAGCAGCAGCAGCGGAGATCTAGGGCAGCAGAGGCCAGCAGGGTGTTCGCAAGCGAAGCCGCTGCTTTAGCAGCCATGGCAACTGCTGCGCAGCAGAGTGCCCAGGCCAGCAGTTCAGGGACCGTAGGGTCAACGATTGCGCAGACCTTGAGTCAGTCCATTGGCGTTATGGCAAGCCAGGCAATAGTGTTGACCCCTGAAGAGGTCGCCATACATCGGGCAGCACTACAAGAGGCACAACTACAAAAAGCTTTAGGAGAGATAAAGGCGGAGAAAGAGAAGATGATTAGAAGAAGAGCCAGGTTACAGCGGAGACAAGCGGACGTTAGTGAGTTCGAGGGGATGGATCCGACGCGCATGGATGATGATGTAAGGACTCGGCGTGCAGTCCTGCTAGACGTAGTAGAAATGCAGGACCACTAGACGACTGTCTTACAGGACATCCAGCAGAGTCTGGCTGTATTGGTCGGGTGAGCGTAGGCAGCTCCATCGCCATCCGGGCCTGGTGCCTGGCCCGTTGTACAACATCCTCTTGTCCCACAGGTGACTGGGGTATCCCGATATGTCTCTCCAGCATCGGTCCAAGCCACTTCCCTAGGTATGTCGCAAGCAGGAGGGTTCTCAGCAGGTCCTAGTGTACAGGTTCCTGTACAGTCAATGTATTCCTTACCTCCGTCGCAGGTTGCCGTAACCGGGCAGCCTACTGTCTCGCAGCCTGCACAGCCGCAGGGTACACAGCCCCAGCAGCAGCTAGTGCAGCACCCTAGTCCCCAAGGTCCACAGCTTGGAGTGGGACAGGTACCGGGACAAACCCAGTGGGTTCCAAAGACGACCATCGCCTCTCCCAAACCTTTTTCAGGGGACAAGAGGGGCGAAGACCTCGATACATGGTTGAGGTCAGTGCCAGTCTATGTCAAGTATAAATTGACCTTGCCGCATGAGGAAGTGCTTGTGGTTGCCTCCTATTTAGAGGGGAGTGTGGCAAGATGGTTGAGTGGTTTAGTGCAGCTACAGGGATACGGTCATGACTTCCGCGCTTGGGCAGTTAACCAGAAACTGGACGACTTCCTCAAGCTAGTGGAAGATAGGTGGCATGATCCTCGGGAGTCTCAAAAGGCCACTGATGCGATCCTGACTCTGAACAACAGGCAGTTTAAG